ATTAGCAACAGAGTTTGGCTAGTAATGCTGTTAGTGGTCTGCTCATATGACATTTTATGCAGACACTTTTGAAAGTTTGTGGAAATGCAGGATCATACACAGTTGAAGTTAAATCTAAGTAATATTTCTTCAAATTAGTTTATTAGACATATTGGTGTGTAGTATCGCTCAACATTTTTAACTCGTTCTTTGCACAACTCGTAAAAATACAGTACAAGCGATACCATTTTCCAGAACGTCTAATAAGGTATGTTGATCTCGGGGTGACCTTTTATCTACGTCTGCGGTCGAATAATCCAAGGTCATCTCTAACGTGAAACTTGAAATAATACTGATCCTCTTGGACGAAAAGCTAACCCATCGCGTTTTACCCCAAGAATTTCTTCCGGTTTTTCTAGCAGTTCACTGGTACCTACTTTTCAAAGCTGTCAACGTGATAAAGCGTCCTCTTGTCTGCAGTCCAGGCGATACCGTTGGATATCGAGAGCTAAAACAAAATTGGTTAATACAAGAAGGCCATAGGTTAAACAGTAGATAAATCTAACACGACAAAAGAGTAAAATGGAACTAAAATCTCATTTTAACAACTTCCAGAAAGATACAAAATATCCGCTAGAAGTCTCGTTTTTGAGCTGCAAACCGTCCCTTAAAGAATCTTTCTCTTTCTCGTTCCTCTCGCAACACGTTTAAAGTCCACAGAAATGTTAAAACTCTTAAATTGTTTTCATTCATTTAAATCTCAAAAGAGATTGTTTTCATTCATTTAAATCTCAAAAGAGATTCAAGCCTTTCCATCACGTGTGGGGAAATTCATGCTTTTTCGCACGCGTAATTAGGTCTGTAAAACATCAAAATTAACTAGATATTTGCTTTATGTATCGAAAAACTAATCAGTTAATTCCATATTGTCCAATTACATGTGACAGTTTTGTAATACTCTTACTGTGACAGTAATCCAGTAGTAAATTTGCGTAAAGCCATATGTAACCGCATTTAACCGACTAACCTTATCAACCAAACTTCGTACGGCCATATTGCAATCTAACGAGTACTGAAAGTCAATCGAATACAGTATGTTAACACAAGAGTGAAACGGGGTAGCAACGAGGAGTCATCGACGGGAAAGGTCTCATTTATAAACTGCAGGGAGAGATATGTAGAGTTGTAGTTAGAGATGTAGAGAGAAAATAAGGTGTGGCTAAAGCTTTGCTGACCCCTCAGAGATGCAATTCTTTAACAATGAGCAAGGGCTCATACAAAACCACCAGCTTTAGGCTTCAGAAAAACGGCCGAGTAATCTTTACAGCACATATCATATTCAATACCTGATAATTTTTTTAGCAGGTCCTCCTTGCCACTTGTATACGAGCCCGCTGATACCAAAGCTAGAAAAGCGGTACAGGCCTTGTCAAAACAGGCGGGCGGAAATTCGTGGCTGGGAATCCTCCTTTTCTTTCTAAAAAATCTTAGCTACCCACCTACTCACCCTAAATATCGCTAATTTTACTTTCTCTCTTATCGCACTAGCACAGCCGCCATTTTTCCCTCTCTGGGCCACTTTTTAAGGAAAAATAAAATGTTCTTAAATATAGAGCTACACTGCACGCGCGGCGCAAGCAATGACAGCTCCGCTATCATATCACAATAATCAAGTAACATAGTACCAGGGATCCTTGATGTGGTTTTACACACACTGGCTTTTCTTCTGGACCCATGGTACCTGTTTAAGATAAGACGAATCAAATTCTGATTTCTTTCTTTCTTCCTTCAAGGCTAAAGGCTCCTAATGCAGCTGCTAGCAGAAGCCTATTGCAGTTTCTATAGTGTGATTATAAATAAACTGTTGAGCCTCTCCCCAGTACTGAACTTGGGCAACTGAAGGAAGATTTTTGGCAGATGTATTGAGGTGACCATTTTGGGGAAGTAGAGGCGAAAACACTATTATTGCAAAACATATGGTTACACAACTACATAAGAACAGAGAAACCAGTGGTTTTATGACATTCAAAGGAGGAAAAAAAACCAGCAATTTCACAAAAGAGAAGAAGTCCAAAACAGTTTGTAAAACCTTCAGTTTTTCCAATGAAGACAAATTATTGCATGACTCTCTACTTTATCAAAGTTCTCATCTTAGCCTTTTGGCTATGAATGAATACAACACAATCAAATAAGCCAGAACTGGACCATGAAATCTGAAATCCGCTAAGATCCTGGAAATAAGTTACAAAAAGTATCTTCTATGTTATTTACCTGCCCAAAATCGCCCAGCCTGAAAAAAAAAAGAATTTAAATTTGATGTTGACAATTTTATTTTCAAAATCAGACACAAAACAATAGCTTATTTATTTTCACAAATTTCATTCAGTTTATGTCATGGCCATGTCTGTATTTTGTGTAGTGAAAATACTTACTGGATCACACTTTCCATCATTGAAACGATTTTCTGGCTTGTCCTCTAAATGCAAATTTAAAGTGGTAAAAATTGTGTTTTAGAATCTGAATGTTTTGATTTTTAAAACAGTACCTTTTTTACTATATATATTTTAGTATAGATTATAAAATTATGTACTGTAATATCTAATATTAGTGAAGTTAACTAAAAGAAAAAATGAATTACAAAATACAAACTTTTTTTTTAATCATAGCCACACAAAGAACACTACTAAAAATACTTAGAATACCTACATTTAGGATACTTTACAGAATTCTCTAAATAAACCCTACATTACATTACAATACAATACAACCCCACTTAGTAAGCCTATTACAGGCTCGCTAGAAGTTTGACACTGAAATAAAGTTACTATTATTATAATTACAGTTATTGTGATACAATTAATATTTAGGCAAACAAGACACATATTTACAGACACATTATTTAAAAAAAAAAAGAGAGTTTATTCACAAAATATTAACAGTTATGAAAGACAAAAGGCTACATTATGTGTGAGATAGGTAAGAGTAATTGCTTGAAACGAAGAAACCAATTTAAGTAATTAGCATTTAGTAAATTTGATTTTCAGCAGATTAATTTCAGGATGAGGAAAGTAGGATACAGCCAAAATACAAGTGGTTAAAAAATTTTTTTAAAAACCCAAATGTTTTAATTTTACAAAAAAGGATTACAAAATACAAACTTGAGGCACCTCTGAAGCAATACTCACCATCTACTGAAGCTACCACTTCTTTTTGTCCTGTCTGGTGAAAAGTGGTTGAAATGGATGTTTGTCTATTAAACATATTTATCACAATAGTTAATAGCATACATTAATAAAGTACTGATTTCTTAGACAGTAAACAAAGGGTTTGAGAAACAGATGAATAAAGGTTGATAGTTTCTAAAGAAACTGTTTGGTGCTGCGTCAGTGGGGGTAACGAAATAATTTGAATATATCACCAAAGTTGAAATGGTAAATTGGCCACCGTTACCGTTATACAAGCTGACATTTCAAGCATTAGCCCTATGTCGGAGTGAAGCCGGTTTCATAAACAGGCTTCAAATACCATCCGGCCAAATAATATGCATAAAAGGGGGTAAGTTTCTAAAGCTGCGGCTCTGCGTCTGCAGAGGTATTACAAGATAATTTGGTTTTATCAACTGAGTTACATGTAATTATGTAGGGAAGCAAGGATGGTACAGTGGTGAGAGCACGCGCCTCCCACCACTGTGGCCCGGGTTTGATTCCTGGACCTGGCATCACTTGTGGGTTGAGTTTGTTGTTGGTTCTCATCCTTGCTCTAAGGGTTTTTCTCTGGGTCCTCTGGTTTCCTCCCTCCGTAAAAACCAACATTCCAAATTCCAATTTGATCTGGAGTCAAGTGTTATTAACATGAGCCATTGGTTCGAAAGACTGGGCAACCACTTCCTAAATTAATTATTTATATTTATTCATCCATTATTATTTAAATTGGATCCTATGAAGAGTTTCAAAAGCAGACATTTTTAAGCTTTAGCCCTTCCCAGGGTGCATTGTTCATGAATTTCCTGAAGCCAGTTTTGAATCACTTCAGGATTCCAGTTCACTTTTAGCTGTGATCCAAAGAGCATTAAGACAGTACCATAGATCATTTGTTTATGAGTGCCACCAGGGGCATTTACATGTAACTTAATACACTTATTCATAGATTCATGGTGCTAACCTCAAGATCAAGAAAGGTAAAATTCCTATTGACTGCCACCAACAAGGAACCACCTCTTTTCCTGGGCACAGCTTACATGTAAGTAGAGAGAAATTGACAACCTTAACCCTTTACAACCTCACATCAGAATCTATAATCTCCATACTCATCTGTAAACATTTTCAACATGTTTCCTGTGGCACTGACCGGAAAAATTTGTTGAGCAATCAAAAGCTTCTTACGTTGGTGAGCATCTCTTTTACTCTCATCATGAACATGATCTTAATGAATTTTTCAGTAGAGTTACTGGAAATGACCTGTTGATCACTCTCATGGTTTAAAAAGGGTTAAAAAAAAATTACTTATAACCATTTAACTTGCAGAAGTGATCAACATGCGGGGATGTAATGAGTCATTTTTGGCTTGTAAGACTGTTCCATACCTCGTAAGTATAGTGTGGGATTATATTCCAAGAAAAAATAAATATTCCAAGAAAAGTCTGTAAACCAGAGCTTACTGGCTTAAAGGGAGCTATATGCCTGACATGTAACTTCTTTCTTTAATATCCATACATTAAACTGTGAAAAGGTAACGAGAATACTCAAACATATCGGGTAGAAGTTATTTCCTTGATCTAACACCGAATTCTTGTGACTAATTTTCAAGGAAATGGATAGCAGCCAGGGGGGTGCAGTAACAATCAGATTTAGGGAAAAAGCATTAAAATACTGATGTTAAACCTGTTGAACAGAATACTTATATTCTCTACCCTAAAAAAACAAATAACGCATGTACATAAACCATACTTAATCTGTCCCCTAAAACCATCATGTGTTACCATTAAATCTATTCAAATGAAAGTAATCTAATGAGTCCTATGCAGCCATTTTTGCTACTCCCTAGTTAAGGTTAAACTCTAACAGGTCAGTTTTTAAATAAGATTTATACTTAAATCCACTTCTACTGTATTATTTATAATAATATTTTATAATAATATTATTATTAAGACCTGTAGCACGCTTCAGGTATACAAATCGCTTAAGTGACAAGAGGCGATTACATTTGGTTGAATATCTCCGCATCAAAAAAATCTGTGACTATGAAACCTTCTCCAAACCTTGAAATTGAACTAAGAAAAACAGTGAGCTAAAATAAGCTTGGGTCCGAACAATATGTTTTAAACAATTTTTTCTCCAAAAATATAAAAACGTGAGAAAATGGCGCATCACGCGTAACAGTGCGCAAGTGAAAATTAAAAACAGCAACAGATTATTCTTGTCCGCATTTAATTTAAAACACCAGCAGTTGAAATAAATAAATAAAGTTAACTAACTCTGAGGATACAAGTGATATTTGGAAAATAATGCACTCCTTGTAGCTAAAATCCTCCTAAGGCCCTGTTTACAAGCAAGGAGGGTAACCCTTGTGCTAGGGTTACCCTAGCAGGCGGGTCAAAGATAGCCAGGGTTTACAAGCAAAATTTCACAGGTAGGGTTACCCTACCACCTGGGACAACTTTACCTATGCTTGGTAACCGCACACATTGTTATCAATGTTCAAAGGGTCTGGGAAAAAGTAAAAAGTTGTCCCGGGTAGGCGAGTTATCCCCACCAGAGCATTTACAAGGCAGCTAGGGTTACCCTAATGCTAGCTGAGCGCTAGGGTTACCCTAGTGCTAGGGTAACCCTAGCTGCCTTGTTAACACGGCGATGAAAAAAAGAAGAAATGTGGGAGCGTTAGGGTAACCCTCCTGCCAGGGTAACCCTAGCACTAGGGTTACCCTACCTGCTTGTAAACAGGGCCTAAATGTCAAGCCAGTCGATCTGTCATGCTTCCCTTTGGCTCTCCAACACAAAATACGAATCCTAACAGTGTCAACGTTCTGTTCAACTTGTACACGCAACATTCATGGATATAGGTGGTTTGCAACCAATCTCCAGAGACACAGGTAACAATGGTGAAAAGAACAAATGCTGGTGGACGAACAAAAGGAGCTAATGTTGTTTACGTCCACCAACATGGCAGCATTGATGTAACGTGCAAACCACCTATAAATGCTCATGCAACAAATTAGTTTTCGTCCGATTTGTAGCTTGATCCGTTGAATTGCATTGAAAATATACACCGAAATCGCAATCCCCAAGTGAAATGGCAGCCATGTTTGTTGAGCAAAACAACAGCACCACCACCATAGAAATTCCCTTGAAACTCGTATCTTGGACCTTTGATCAGCACCATCTTCTCAACATCCAATGCTCATTTCATGACTAATGTTCTGCTAAAAACTAGACTTTGTACGTTACATTACCGTGGAAATACGACCGAAAATTTCGATCCCAAAGTCATTTGTCAGTGTAGGGGCATTAGAATAGGGTGGTTCACGCCCCAGAAACTGCTGAAAATTCATTGAAAAACGTACAAATTCTCCTTGCCTTTTGGCCGCCATCACGCTATTCGGTGTGGTTACTAAGGTAACCAGGCCTTGTTATTGTTTAGGGAGCCTTGAAACCAGTTTTAACCAGTTGAGTTGAGAACTGGAAAGGTTCTATTAAGGATCAAATCACACCAGACAACTCTTGTTAAGGTTCAAAATACCTGTTCTATTTACAAGTTTTGCAATTTGGAAGGTATTNATTATTTGTCTTACCTTTCCCGTTATGATATCAAGCAGATGAACGTTATGCCCCAAAATATCCACCCAGATGAGTTTTTCTGTCGTCCCGTCCCAGTGGGGGCCCTCTCCAAGCTGTGAGCAATTCTCTTTCACCACAGAAACATCGAAAATGGAGGCCGCCATCTTGTTGTCACGTCTTTATTGTCTGTGCTCTATTGCATGACAAAGGTAAGTCACGAGACCGGCTTGACAACGTGACGATCAATAATTGGCCGGCTGCGCCCCAACTGCACGCCAAAGAAACAATCGCTGTCACGCAACATACGCAAATGACAGAGGTGAAACGTCAACGGGCAGTGAAATCTGCTAGGGAAACGTGTAGGGAAAAGCAAAGGAGGATAACTCGAGACGTTTTGAACACGGGTACCCTGTTTATGTACCACTTTGTACTGAGCTTTTTCAAAATAGTTTTACGCTTCTAAAACACATCGACTTCTTGACTTGTGTGGCTGTTTATAACTCCTGTAAGATGATTCGGTCAAATCACAACCTTCGCACCAGCGCACACGTTGACGTCATCCCCTCGATCCTCTGGCCGAGGAAGGTCTGAGTACCAGACTACGATCCAGACTTCTCAGTAACCAACGAACCGACGGATGGTACCCAAACAAACCTTTTGGAGGGGTGAGTGGGGTACTACATGGGCTAGCTCCTGTAACACACGACAAACTTTGAACCTGCAATGTACAAGATAAGAGATTTTCATTTGGTAAGTTCTTCAAATTTCCCCTGCCAAGATGAACAGTGACTTACTTTTTCATTCTTTAAATAAGTTCTTTTCATCGTCCCTAATTCGTATTTATTTCTTTAGACAAATTATTTTGTCTTCAGTTTGCTTGATTATTCCCTAATAATCTGAATCTCATGTGCAAATGTTCACCCAAAACTCAACGTGTCAACATCGCTGGCCCCTGATATGGTTTGGCTAAGAAAAGCGCACGCTAATCTACCAGTTTAATCTACCGGACCAGCTCCGGCTCAATTTTGATTAACCTGTCGTAGAAAACAGTCTTACCATAGCAACCGGCTTTAATCTTTTTAAGTTTTCCAGCAAATTGGGCGGCGCAGCCCAGTTTAAAAAATGCAATGTCGAAATTGCGTTTATGAAAAAGAAAAATTAAGTAAACAAATTGAAAGTTAATTTTAACTATTTGGTTCAAGTGAATTTATTTAACAGCAGGTGAAATTTTTACATGCTGACAGATCTGCATGATAAAAGTGATTAATTTTAATACTTGATATATGCGTAACTGCCAGTAAGGTTTGTCATCTTCGAACTCAAATTTGGATTTTAGTATTTCACTTAAAAATCGCAAAAGAGCATGGTACTCGCACAGCAATTATGAACTAAAACGACAGAAACTTTTCAAAATACTGTACTGTAGATTTGCCAAAGCTTCAAGATGGAAGACAACGACTTCAAAATATTCAATGGTTCAACGCATGATCTAAATAATGATAAAGACGGAAATTTACCTGGTCCTTCGACTATCACCTTGTTGAACTGCTTTCTTAATATTCCACTAATACTGATATCGATTCTGGGAAACTCTTTGGTCTTAGCAGCCGTACACAAAGCTCCTTCGCTTCGCTCACCTTCCATAACCTTGCTGTGTGGTCTCGCTGTCTCCGACCTTTTCGTGGGTTTCATAGTCCAACCGATTTATATCACCAAAGAGCTCACTTCAGCACATTTTATACCCGGAGTGACAAAAATTTTGGGTGTTACTTTTTGCGGGATTTCATTCGCTACAATGTCAGCGATTAGCTTGGACCGATTTTTGGCTTTGAAATATCACATGATTTACAATTCTCTGGTTACCACAATGAGCGTTAAAGTCACTTTAATATTTATTTGGCTTGTAAACTTTTCAATATTCTCCGGCGTTCACGTTTGGTATGCACCTGAACAATTTTATATCTCTTTTGGATTGATCGGCTTCTATATGGTGATATCCACCATGGGTTATGTGGGTGTTTATCGAATCGCTCGTCGTCACCAATTCGAGATCCACGCTCAGCAGCAAGCAATGGGTGTTCCAAAGTTGAAAATAACCTCAAATGTGGCGTTTTTAACTCGCACGGCCGTGAACACTTTCGTATTTTACATATGTACAGTTTTTTGCTATTTGCCGTGGAGCATCTATCGTCTTTTTTATTCAGATATCTTACTCATAAATACTAGTGATGGTTGGATTTTTACGTGTACTTTGGTGTTCGCCAACTCGGCCATAAATCCCTTATTGTATTGCTGGCGTCTTCGGGAACTTCGAGGGGCGGTTTTGAAGTTATTGGGACAAATATCTTGTAATTATCGTGAACAAGTAGAAAACATGTGAAACTTTGGCTTTCTCCTTAGAAAACTGACCTCTTGGTTCGATTCGAGGATGCACAATTTTTAAAAGTCGGAGACTCTCCCAAATTCATTCGTATATTTTTTACATGCATCTGATTGCATCAGGTTGCAAAGTCTCGTTTGAGATGATTGTTCATAAAATATTACAAACTGTGCTGAAGAAATTCATATGGAACAAGAGACATATAAGAGGGATAAGTTTCACCCATTGAAGGAAAAACAAAAAAATTGCGTTTCTATATTTTTTTAAGTCAGTATGATAGCAAAAGAGCTGACCTGAGGATCTTCCTCATCTGTAGAATTTCTTTGCATTTAGAACGTAAATTTCAGTCTTTAATGGTACAAGTTGATATATCGGTCGCATACACCTTTGAAGCTTTCCTTTTTTATTTCAATTTAATACTTAATAAACGTTTATGAGAGAACCGGACGAAACTGAATATATCCTTAATTTTGCCAACTGCTCAACAAAACGCCAAATAAATAAATATGCCCACTTTGGATGTTTATTATCACTGTTCCTGATGTTGTTGAGGTTCTTGTTTGGACAATACTTTTGGTCATAAAATAATTGAGGAGAATTTGCTACCTTTCTATAACATCAGTGAAATGGATAGATATTCTAATCTTCTCGGATAAGGACGAATAAATGGAGGACCCGTCTCCTGCAGGGTTAGGGGTAGGAGACGTTAATTTCCCACGCACGAGATTGCTGTGTGATGGATGTCCTCCCCTGGGGTGGGATGTGTGGGGGCAAAAGGTGAGGTCGTTACATGGACTAAAGCGGCTGCCAGAGGCGCCTGATAATGCTGACGTCTAATCTCAACCTTAGTAACTATAGTTTAAGTCGGATTGATAAGGTTCATTTACGTAAACTTGAATTGACTTCGTGCTGTGCAACTTTTAATTATCAACGCTATGACAGAGTCATTAAGTTTATGTTTTTAAAACCTTCGCCGAGTGCAATTTTCCGGCACCAAAGGATCATTTTCGTAAAAAAAATATAGACATTTGTCTTTGGTCAAAGTGCATACTTATGTTTACGCTCTGGCGTTGTTTCACAAAATCGTGTGTTATGATAATTTCTACCGCAACATTCGGAACAGAATTCGCATTCAAGCTCAGCCCTATGTTTAATATTTTCTATGCCAACGTCTCAGGTAGGGTTCTGTTGCATCTTTTGTAACTTTCGTTCTGGCAAATTTCAAACAGCATCAACAACTTAAACAAAACATTATATGTGGCCTCAAAGAAATTGAAGCCGGGAAAATTTTCAAAATGGCAAACTGTTTAAGATGTGCTCGCCTGTCACCTCAGTTCTGTTAAAATAGAAAGTTAATTTTTTTATGTCTGCTTGCACAGCTGCAAGTAAGTTTCGAATATCAACAATTATCAAGCGCCTGCATAATACATCTTTCGAACAGGACTCTTATTCTTAATAAATTTTCGTACTATTATCCAGAATGACCGTTCTTTGCTGATCATGAACAGCTCAATAAGAAAGACTTATAAACTTTTAATGCTAAATGGTTATTTTAGTGTTTTATTACCCCTCCTAACGGTTTAAAAAGCCCGAATAAAGACATTGTATAAACGGGAAAGAATGACACGACATGTACAGTGTAGTACCAACTGTAGTACCAACGTGTAGTACCAACGGGAAAGAATGACACGACATGTACAGTGTAGTACCAACTGTTTCCTCTTTATGCATTTCATGATTAATAAATTTTATTATGCATACGCTATGTCTTTGAAATACCTCATTACAGCTTCCTTTAAAGAAATGTCTAGTCGACAACAATATATCGTAGAATTGTGCTCAGTAAGATTGAGAGCAATTATTCAGAGGTACATATTTGGCTTACTGAAGACATCCATCTTCATCTGAAATTTGCTGTTACTCAAGTTTATATGTCCATCCTAAGTGTTTCGATCCGTCATCTCATCTATTTGTTCAGAGCCTGATCGCTATGAAAATTAAATGCATGATTCAACATCGCCAGCTCGTCAATCCCGAGTACCACTGTAAAATTGGCAAACAGCCTGTCACTAGTGTCGTATGAAAAATTGTTATGAAAAGCTGTGAAGGCTAAAAAGTCCTACCTGTCTAAATACTAACCTTTTTTTTCGCCGAAATTTTTTAAAATGGATAACGATGACTGTTACCCGTGTGAAATTTCGAATCTAACGGATTTTAGACTTTAGGATGGTCACAGTTCACAAAAATCAATTTAACTTGACAACGAAAGCGGAAAAATGACCTTCCAAGTTGCTTTACAAAATTCCTTTAACTCATGCAGAAATTGACATTTTGTCGCCGGCACCATCATGATCATGAGTTGTTTATTAAAGCTGTACACCTGCTCGCTAAACTGAATAAAAACCCAACAAATTGGATCGGCAATACTGAACCCTTTCCAAATGTGACAAAAGAGGCGGACAGAAACTCAGAGAAGGCCAAATTTTATCGGTACAAGTTTGAATTTTCAACAAAGGTGTGACGGAAAGCTTAGTTTCCTAAGATGTCTAACGATTCAGTTTCTGATCAAGGTTTCGATGACGACGAAGTTCCAACCGGTCCATCAGCCTTCATCATTGTTAACTGCATTCTGAACGTTCCACTGCTGGTTTTATCCATTTTCGGTAATTCCATGGTCTTAGCAGCCGTTCTCAAGACACCTTCGCTTCGTTCGCCCTCCTTAATGTTTCTGTGTGGTCTCGCTGTTTCAGACCTTGTCGTGGGTTTGATAGTCCAACCGATCTACATAGCCAGAGAGCTTACATTTGTTGACATTTTTATCAGACTAACGAGAATTTTTGGGAATTCATTCTGTGGAATTTCTTTCGCTACCATGTCAGCAATAAGCGTGGATAGATTTTTGGCTTTACAGTTCCACATGACGTACAGCAACTTGGTCACTACATCGCGAGTGATAATATGTTTGATAGTAATTTGGCTGATAAACTCCGGTCTTTACGTATGGCATACACCGACGAATTTTCATTTAGCCTTAGTAACGATCGGTGTTTTTTTCTTAACGTCCACCATTTCGTACATTGGTATATATCGCATAGTTCGGAGACACAATGCTGAGATATACGCTCAAAAGCAAACATTTGAATATCCCAATAACCAAAGTATGCTCAGGTTAGCCATGTTAACTCGTACTGCCATGAACACGTTCGTTTTCTACATTGTTACAATTCTTTGTTATCTTCCATGGTTCGTTTATAGGGGTTTTTTTTGCGATAGTTTTCCCATTGGTGATCAAGAAACCTGGGTTTTTAGAGTGACACTGGTGTTTGCAAACTCTGCCATTAATCCTTTCTTGTACTTCTGGCGAATTCGCGACCTTCGGAAGGCTGTCATGAAGATATTAAGACAGAAAACTTCATGCAAATAAACGGAGAAGTCTGAATGCCGAAGAGCACCATTTGCAATGACAGATAAAAAAAAACAACAACAACAACGACAAGAACACTTTGTGCGTAGTATTGCCTCACAAGGCCACAGCAAGGCGCGATCATATCAAGCAATACAAACCAGTTTAAATTTGTGTGACGCACTTGCAGCCATTCGTGTCAACCAAAACAACAGGGAAAAGTTGTGGCCTAACTAACTCTTGTTTGTAATTGGAAAACAGTTAACAAGGGCACAACCCAG